ACTCGTACAATTCACCATCGAAAATGGGAATTTGATTTGAAGAGGTAGCAAACATGGTATGTGATGAAGTTGTTGCCATGGAATTATGAGAAAATTGGGTAGGCTAGAAATTTGGGGATTTTGGAGAGGATAGAAAGGTATTAGCTCTGATACCAAATTTGTTGGGTATTTGCGGAAGTAATGGTAATTTAGGATCAACTCAAAGGAAACAATTGGTGTTTAATCACTCTTTTTGGAAATACACTCAAACAAACATAGCCTTATAGTTTTGGCTTATGTTTAACACTTACAGACAAAAGGATACACTGCACACTTGTGCCTTTCTTTTTTTCCTTTACTTTTTTCTCACTTCCCACACTTCTCTGACACACTACTACCATTCCATACATCCAATACATATATATAATTCAAATGGAAGACTTTCACTAGCCACTAGTAGCTGTAAGTGGATCCCTCCATGATAATGAAGCATTAATCTCCATGTGATGTGTTTGTCTATTATAATTCATAAACATCATTTAGTTTATGCATTATTATTTTGTCTTCACATATTTATTGTAGATAAGTGATATTTGTTTTGAAAACTAGTTCCAACTGCCAAAGTAATGAATTTGTCTTCTTGAGTTGATTGTGGTGAGCTTTGATGGTAATAATTGCAAATTACCATTTGACAGATATCACCCCGTACCAGGGTGGTATTATGTAGTATTTTTGGTCATGTATTTTGTTCACCCAGAAATTTGTAGATCCAATAGATCATGATGAACTCGTTTTTTCTGTGCAAAATTTTTCAAAAACGACTAAAACGAAGAAGATACCATACGGTATGTTGTTGGTACAAGAGGCATGAAATTTTTTTCTCAAAAAATACTAAAAATGGATCTCATTTTGTAGAGCACAACAAACTCGTTCCATCTGTCAAAAAAAATTTTGAAATCCAAATTCAAACGAAAAAAATATGAGCCGATTAAAAAAACTAAAAAAAATAAAAATAACTTTAATGATCTGAATTTTCTGAATAAAAAGCTCCAAATGTAGTTACCAATAGCATTTTTTAACCTCCTCTCGTTATCTCGTAAAAACAAGTGAAAGCCCAAGAAACAAAACGGCGGCATAGCAAAAACAATCCGCCCGCTGTCTCTCTCCACGAGTCCTCCGCCACTCTCGTGCCCTCTGTCCGACCTTGTCAAGAACAGCGTTGGAGTCTTCATCCTTCAGGATCGACGCACACATCTTCGCCCTCTCCTCAACATGCCACGACTCCTCCTCCCAACCTTCGAACCGGCACAGATCCGCGCCGCCATTCCACTCCTCCAGGAACCGCAGCCTGTACACCACGCAAGCGCCGGAGCTCCAAGGCTGGCAAGGCACCGGAGGGTATCTCCGCTCGAATTCGGAGAAGTCGATCATCGTGCCGCCGCCGCCGCCTTGTCGCCGCCGCAGGGAATTGATGTACGTGGTTACAAGCTTCAACATCCTGTCGGGCAGATCACCCATTTCTTCGAAGGATCTTCTCTTGTCGGGCCCGTCGCTGTCCAGATATTCAAAACAAGCTTCCTTGATGTTGATTACGATTGCCGTGGCATGGCAATCGTAAGATATGGGTATGCACCACTGCAAATTATTTTTAAAAATACGAGTCGTTATACTCTTGGAATCTACAATATTACAGGTACGTACGTAGTCGTTATACCCAACGATCAGATGACTTGGAGTATGGTATACTTCATGAGTGTATCATTCGCTACGATTATTAATTCCAAAACCCTTGTTACAAAACCCTAATTAATACTTACAAGGTCACACTTGGTGGCATCAATCTTCCTCTCTGCTAGGTAGTAGATGCTTGACAGATGCTGATCACATAGTTCAACCAAGTAAGCATCATCATCATTATCCTTTAGATCAATCTCAGCTTCTTCAATCACTAGATCCTGCATATATGCACATAATCAACACTCCATCATCAATGGCCAACCTAGCTTAATTACATGAATTTTACGTGCACATGTTGGCATAAAACAACTGATATCAGTCAATAATTCGAATGAGAGAATATTAATTATTGGATATTATATATATATCACTCTCTTACACATCCTCTCAAAGGAAATCAACTCGCGGGCTGTCAAGAACCAGTTGATCTCAATAACTCGAGTTGTTGGGAGAAAGTTATACTGGATCTTATACCACTCTCTTACACGCCCCCCCTCAAACGAAAGTCAATTCACGGGCTTGAAGTTTGCACAGGCCCACCATACCTTGTGCTTTAATCAACTGTTAATATTGCGGGTCGTGGAGATTCGAATACACAACCACTTGGCCAACCCAGCTCTGATACCATGTAAAGAAACCATTTGATCTCAATAATTCGAGTTGTTGGGAGAAGGTTATACTGAATCTTATACCACTCTCTTACGTACACAGGTTAACTAGATCTTGTGCTTTCATCGATCATAAATATTGAGAGTCTCCCAAATTTGACCTCACAATCAAATCAACTATAATATCATGTCACAAACCATCTGCTCAAAATAACTCGAACGGTTAGGTTTTTGATTAATCATGAATCTTATACCTTTCTCGTACACATGTCGATAGTACTCAAGCGAGTTGTAGTTAGGGTTTAATTACCGCAAGGGTGGTACGAAAGATGAACTTTTTGAAGTGCCCATCAGCCATTAGCGAGCTCTTGTTTGTCTGGTCGAACCAGAAGTCAGACATTTCATCTGACACCCCAGATGTCCCAACAAGTTCTGTGAAGTCCTTACGCTTCCAGCAGGTTGTTCTGCACCTAGCATCTTGGAACAAAACCTCCTCCCTAATTTATAATGCGACACAGTAAATGGCGTATTCAGTACCCGATGTATATGCATATGCAACATTGAAATATATAGCTAAGAAATTTCGTTCCAACTTACTGTGAGAGCTTATAATCCAACGCATATTCCATTATCTCGTCATGTTCTGTTTTCGGCTCTGCAGTACGGGCGGCGGAAAACAGGCAGCTGATGGGTAGGCCCATTGGCGTGCATGCAGAACAATAATTGCATGCGACGAGAAAAGAAAAGAATGGAAGAAAGATCAGGCGAAAGTTCGTCGACGAGAATTGGCCGGCGTCGCCGGCCGCCGGCAAGCTAGAAGGAGAAAAGAAGGAAATCACGAGGGAATTGGGCTTATAGAGTTTGGGTATCACTTAAAAAGTTGTGGCTACTTTCCCTAGTTCATCTAGGATACAAATTGTTGGTCTGCGTACGTCTAATGTGAGACGGAAATTGTTGACTCGGCGTAGTGGGAATGTGGAAAACTCCACTTGTGGACCAAGAGTTGAAACGGTTTAAAAATTAAAACCCGGGGTAATAGGGTCCTCTTTAATCCGACCGGACCGGTTTCCACCCGTACTAGATTTCACGGACTTGATACGAAGAAAAAACAGCTCTAAAGATAATCCAAATATGTATGGTCTAGAGGTGATGGATTGCGGATTGCATTGGTGAATATATGGATAAAATGGATTAATGGATTCGGTTATGCATACATCTAAACATTGGACGAATATGTAAATTTTTAAAACTTCAGGTACTAAAATATCATAATAAAAAAATTTAGTTAACAAAACTTAATTTTTCAATGATACTTTACGTAAAAAAATAGTTATCAAAATATAAAATACAAAAATATATCGGTACTAAACTATTTAGTTAGATAATTAAGTGGATGGATTGGATTGGTGGATTGAGTACAACATTTACACCTCTATGTATTCATGTTGTACTTCGAAATATAATTATGTTACTAATTTTTTTGGAGCGCGTTGACATATAAAGAACAAATTTTTTAATTATGAGTAAGAGATTTTCTTTCATAAGAAGAAGGGAAAATTAAAACTGAACGACCAAACGTCGGCTTAATTTAACTATTATCACCTTAACTTAAAAACACAATTGCTAAATTATCCTTCATTTGTAAAAAAAATCAAACAAACAAACAACCCTAAAACCCTAATGTTAGGCTTTATAGTTGATGTACGAAGTAGGAACGTTAACCACAAAGCTCCGCGTCATTAAACCGAGCCGTCCACGTACAAATTAATAGATACAAATAAGTCCCCATATTTACATAGTTTAACCGTCTTAATGTTAAATTGGATGGTAACCACCATATTTGGATGGTCACCATACTTCGACTTGAATGGTATCATCAAGTTGGTACCCATGAATATGGAATAGTACCATCCACTTAGAGATTGGATGATATCCATGATGTAATATGGTCATCATCCACTTAACGGTTGGATGATATCTATGATATAGGTTGACCTGACCACCAACCACTTTGGGATTGGATGGTATCTATGGAACTGGACAGATGGTAACCAAATGTTGGATGATCTCCTCGCACCTAACTAATATTCACCAAAGTACGTCGCACTCAGACAAACTGATATGTGTGGGCCCAACTATATAAAACGGGCCAACCATCCTAAATTAAAATAGTTCATGTTGTATTTTACAGTGTTTTTAAAGCCGAGTCGTACCGGCCGATCAAACCGGTAAAACCAGCACTAGGACGCCAGATCGGCTCGGAACACTCTAAAAGTCATAACGGTCAAAAAAGATGATTGGTAAGCGATCTGAACCGCCGGTAACCGTTCGAACCATTCAAACCGACCAATTGGTTCTCATTCCAACTGTCCAATTATAGGAACATATTTCTTTCTAATTAATTCAAACATCGGGACAGGGGACGCGCGTGGGGTTGGGAAATTGCAGTGATCAATTCCTTCTATTTTCCCGACTCAAAGTCCAAACGCCAACTCTTCTGTTGGAAGCTGTATTACAACAAATTTTGAGTGCTTTTTCATTTGGGGATTGCTAATTGTCGCCCTAGATTTTACTATAATCGCCCTGACTTAATATATACAATTACATCTTTATCCTTTTATTTTTTAAATCTTTTATTTAAACAAACAACACTCTTTTCAAAAAAAAAAAAACAACGCAAAATCTCATATAGTCATATTCTTTCCGGAACTCTCATCTCCGTTTCCCGTTCTGGAAAGAATGGAGAAGTTCAACCCCTCCCGCCTCCCACAGCCCACAACCAAAGGCCCATCGCAAGTAGTTTGTTTTGTACTTTGTTGTCAAGTTTCTCTATTAAATATTTAAATCCGTTGCCTTTAATTGTCAATTTTCTCATATCCGTGCCCTCGTTGCTGTTGTTCCATTCCCTTCCTCCATCTCCATTCGTCGCCGCCGCCACGGCCGATTACTATCCCCGGAGACAGAGAGTAAGCAAGCGAGTCATTCCGAGGCTGGACCAGGCGGCGACGGAGTCCGGGAGTGGCGGCAGGAAGGTGGAGAGGTTCTCGCACTACGTGGAGAGGCATCTAGGATTCTTAGATCCGAGCAAGTGTCGGCAACTGTGCAGAGGCTTGATTGATCGAATTCGCAGTACATTCTGCCCGAAGAATCGCAGAGGTCGCACTTCTTCATTGTTCCCCCTTGTGATTTACTCTAAGATTCGCCTGCTCTGTTTTGCTTTTAATTAAGCGGAAAAAGGAAAGTTTAGAAGAGAGCAGACTACTCCCCTGCAGCGGGTGATGAACGGTCAATTCGCCTGCTCTGTATTTCTTCCGTTGCTCAGGTGATGAACGGTCAATCGGATTAGAGGCCGAAGCTCAAAAGCTTTGTAATAGCCACCGCCCACCACCAGATAGACGCCAGTCTCCCTGTAGCTGTATTTTCTCGCATAGAATGAGATAGGGGTTGTTTGTTTTGTCAATTTTGTATTAGGTTTGTTAAGGTTACTTAAGTAATTTTACACTTTTAAGTTAGGGCGATAAAATAAATTAGGGCGATATTTAGCCATTTAATTTCATTTTATTTTATTTTTGTTGTTTTTAATTGTAATTATTAAAATACTAAGGCTGCAAAGGCCAACTCTTCTTTCTTGAATATTTGTTAAACATTAAGATACGTGAAGATTAAATGTTAGAAGGATTATGTGTAGAATTTTGGATCTTAAGAGAAATTCACATATTTGGATAGTTCATGTGAGATTTTAGACTTAAGAAGTTTTAGTGCACATGTTTTAAATTGTTTAAAAGTAATGCATTCATGATTTAGTGTGCTAAGGTAAAGGAAGTGTGTGGTACTTATAATACTTGTATACGAGGCATCGGTTTGTTAATGGTTTTTCAACGGTTTAATACTGGTTAAACCAATAAAGTGCAAACCGTTAACTATAACGGTTCATACTCCGGTTCGGTTCTGACAACATTGGTATTTTAAGTGAAAAAATTATTTTGGTGTAAATGTTACTAAATTGTCATTTCAACAAATTAATTTGGGTATTAAACCGTATCACTCAATGAATTACTTTCCAATGTCTATCTGCAAGAGGAAGCTTATTGGAAGCAAAAGTCCATAACTACTTGGCTGCAAGTCGGTGATGCTAACACGAATCACTTCCACCTTTCAACTACTCAACGGCGGCGACATAATCGCATTGAAGTCTTGCAAGATGAAGTTGGGGTTCGGCATTATGATGAGGATGGTAAAGGGGTGTCTCTGTTGGCTTTTTCTAGCACTTGTTCATGTCCAACGGGATCCCCCCCCCCCCCCCCAAACAACTTCTTGGTGAATGCTTTGGGACTTCACCCGAATATTACTCATGTGCACAGAACTCTTTCCTGGCTGCACCTATGTCCTATCACATGTGATGAGATTCGAGTTGCAGCATTCAGCATAGATCTCAGACAAGCTCCGAGGCCGGATGGGCTGATCAGTGCATTTTTTCAAACGTATTGGGACATTATTGGAGACTCAGTTTGCAGGGCGGCTCTGTCTTTCTTCCGGTCTGGCCGCTTGCTGCAGAACTTCAACCACACCATTATCACTCTAATCCCGAAGGTCCCCAATGCTGAGTTGATGAAGCAAATGCGTCTGATCAACATATGACAGGTTTTCTACAAGATCATATCCAAGATCCTCACTACTAGGCTGAGTGTTATCCTTCCCTCTGTGATATCTGACTCTCAGAATGCCTTTATCAAGGCGAGAGATATCTTCGACAACATAATCATTGCTCAGGAAGTCATGCAATTCCTAAAGACGAAGAATAATGGAAGGGACAAGTGGATGGCTCAAATTGGATATATATGGAAAAACCATACGACCGGGTTGAATGGGGTTTTCTCTTTGCAGTAATGGAAGCTCTAGGATTTGGTCCTCAAGGATGAAATGGATAAAATCGTGTGTCTCTACAGTCACTTTCACTATTCTTCTCAATGGTAATGAACATGGGTACTTCAGACCTCAACGGGGTATTCGGCAAGGTGATCCACTTTCACCACTCCTTTTCGCTATTTATACAGAAGCTTTCTCAACCCTGCTTCATAATACGCTTGAGTTACAGCAGTTACATGGCTCGAAGGTCCATCGGCTTGCACCAACTATCTCACATTTATTCTTCACTGGTGATACCTATCTTTTCTTGGGTGCAACCACATCTGAGTGTGATAGTCTGATCCAGCTGTTGCGTCCCTTTGAGGAGGCTAGTGGGCAGCGCATAAACTTACAGAAATCCTCAGTCTATTTCCGCTCTAATGTGAGTGACCAGGAGAAGAATATGTTGGCTAATTTGCTTGGTATCTCCTCCATTAGACCTCTTGACAAATATCTTGGGCTCTCGGCTCAAATTCAGCGTTCTAAAGTGCAGACCTTCCAGTTTGTTCAAGATAACCTTGTTGCCCACATACAAAGTTGGCGCTCCAAATCACTCTCACTTGCTGGAAAGGAAGTTTTACTCAAGGCCGTTGGTTCAGCAATGCCGGTCTATACTATGTTTTCCTTCCTACTTCCATTTGCGTCTTTTCGCAGACTAAATAGTCAGCTTGCTAGATTCTGGTGGGCTGGTCAAGATAAGGAGAGAGGAATGCACTGGATTTTTTGGCCGGCAATTTGTGTTTGCAAATTTCATGGAGGCCTTGGTTTTAGGGACTTCGACCTCTTCGATGTAGCGATGCTTGGTAAGCAAGCTTGGAAGATACTGATGTGTCCGGATTCTCTCCTCGCAAGAGTATATAAGGCTCGTTAACACCCGCATTGTGACTTCCTCTGCACTAGCTGGTTCCCTTCCATCTTGGGCCTCACAAGGTTTTCATGAAGGTCGTAATCTGCTGAACCAGGGATTGAGATTGCATGTAGGATGCGGATCAACAATCCGCACTATCGAGGACCTCTTGTTGCCTTCGACTCCGTCCCTGCTTCTTGGTATCTCTCTCCCCAATCCTTTTGTTGCTGCCCTTATTCATCCAATTAACAGAACATGGAATGGAGACTTGATTCGTGCATCTTTTACTCCAGAGAGTGTGTCATGGATCCTCTCTATTCCACTTCCAACCGCACCACAACCGGACAAACTCATTTGGCACTACTTCAGTACTGGCCAATACACTATCAAAACGGGCTACCAACTGCAAGCAGCCAGCAGACAGCTTCAGTTTGATCAACTTCCTCCGCATCTCAATACACAGTTCTGGAAGAGATTATGGAACCTTCCAATCCCTCTGAAACTCAAGTTCTTCCTTTGGTGGGTTGTAAGAGGCTTCCTTCCAATGCAATCTATCCTTAAAGGGAAGCATCACTGTGATTCTGATGTTTGTCTGGTCTGTTCAGCTAGCACAGAAACCATTTCTCATTGTCTCTTTGAGTGCAGGATCGCCCGAGCTATTTGGACTCTTGCTGGGAAAGACCAGGTTCGGCTAGCTATGGCTAGTGTGGCCAATGACTTTGCTTGACATGCTCTTTTCTTCTCTATGCAGCTCTCAAAGATGGAAATTGCAGAAGCAGTGTTCCTCACCTGGCGCATATGGAAAGGTCGATATTGGTCAGTCTATGACAAACTACAATATCTACCAAGTCCCCTCTTTCTTCAATACACTCGACAGGTAGAGGAATGGCGAGAGGCGACCGCTTCGCCAAGGGATCAACCTCTTCAAGCGAGGCAGGTCAGGCAACCAGCAGCAGGTCCAACATGCCCCCCGGGTGGACTTCTCGTTCGATTTGATGGTGCGATGAGGCGAGGAGTTGGAGGCAGTATTGGATTAGTTGGATTTGCTAGCAACCATTCCTTGGTTTGTGCATACGGTAAGTTCTACGGTGGCATTTCGGACTCATTCTTGTTAGAATTGTTGGCTTTGAGAGACGCAATGTTATGGAGCCTTAATCGTGGTTATTCTGCTGTATGTTTCTGTGGTGACTCCCAATTAGTCATCCGACGTGCATTGGAGAATGATGTTAATCATGATAGCGAAGGAGCGGTGCTTGGGGAAGTGCGGAAGTTGAAGACTTCTTTTGCTTTTATTTCTTTTATTTTTGCTCCTAGTAGAACTAACAGGGCTGCCCATCACGTGGCACAAACGGCCCTTGCATCGGTAGCGACCCATTTGGTTGACTACCGCTCTTTTATTTCCCACTGCACTATAATACCCTATCTATTACAATCTATCTATGACAAAAAAATTACTTTCCAACGTCAGCAACTCATACGCAACCTTAGCACAAATTCTCCATTTGAGCATCAACTAATATAAATTTGACTGTTACATTGTATTTCTATAATTTCGGCTCTATTTTTCCTCGCAAATGAAATGTTCACTATTGGTGGCCTTTCATCCCTTACCTTAGCCCACTTGCTAGTCCTAATTATAATACTAGAAAGGATATCATCTCTAACTATATCAACAATAATGATTATTCCCGGTCTATATCCTCAACATAATCGATGTTAATTATATGAGGGCTTCATTGTAAATTCCTTCGTATAGGTTATGTAGCTAGGGATTGGTGTGAGCAAACCTATATAAATTATTGTGCCTGTACCGAAGAGGTTACGTCGAATAATAATACCTAAAACCTGAGAGGGAGATCCTCTCCGTGGACTAGTGTCTAACGACGATACCACGTTAAAAGACTTTCGTGTTCTTACGTCTCAGGATTATACTTCGTCTCAGGCTTGTGTGTGGCGGCGGCTTGTGTGTTAATCTCGGCTTCCTGGAAATCTTCTTCTTCCTTTTTTGTTTGCCGTTTGCTTTTCTTCTTTCTTGCTGTCGTGCTTGTCTGTTTGTGGTTTCTTTAGACGGCGTTCTCAGGATGGACTCAGGACGTTTTGATGGTATCTCCACGAAGTTCGACGGCAAGAACTTCGCGCTATGGGATGTGGTCCCATATCTACAAGACGTATTCCCAGGCCAACTCTTCCCGACAATTTGATCTAGAATTTGCAATCGCCAAGCTGGTACAAGGCGATTATGATATACGGGGCTATTATCAGCTAGTCTCAATTTATGGACAGAGTTTGATCTTCTTATGGCTTCTCTCTCTCGAATCTATTACTCCACAGGTTATCAAGGAATGAACTCGATCTCGCCTGATGCAGTTCATCGTGAAACTCGGCCCCGGGTTTGAGACAGTTCGTGCTTCGATTATACATCGCGGGGTTACTGAGTTTGATGAGGTGCTCGGTGACTGTTACGTGAAGAAACGAGATTGCGGAGTCAGGCCAGATTGACAACCTTTCTCCTGTTGGTGAGGCTGCATTTGCGGTGAGTAAAGGTCGCAATAATCGCCCCTAGTTTCAGTCCCAAGGTACAAGCACGCTCACTTGTCATTTTTGCCAAGAGATAGGCCACTTCCAGCCACATTGTAAGAAAAGAAATATATGTATCTATTGCAAGTGATAATGTTCGAAAACATATTGATTTTATGTGCTTGATGTGACTATTTTATGATATGTTTGAGATGTATAATGCTTGTTTTAGATACAATTGACTATGGAATGGTTATCATACCAT